TAGAAAAGGGAACTGATTCAATACAGCCTTTCAGCCCTACCGGGGGCTGGGTGTCTCTGCGGGCTGCCTGTGCCATTGCGGGAGGCGGGGAGGGGAACAGAAGGATTCTCTTGTGTGCAGAAGCAGCCTGGGGGGCTTTGCTGTGAGTGGGGGTGGGGGAGTCTGCCCCTCTTTGCCTCCTCTCGCCTGGGTTTTGGGTCTTTTTGTGGGGGTTTTTTTTTGTGATTTTCTTTTTTGTGGGGAAGGGACAGGATGAGCTTGCAGAGTTTTACTGGAATTTCTCCTTCCTTTCTGAGGAGCTGCCACTGCTGAAGCAGATTTTTTCCTTCCTTTTTTTTTTTTTTGTCTGATGCAGAATCTCAGTAGCTAGGCAGCCTCCCTCTTTTCTTTCCTTCCTTCCTTCTATCCTTTCGGTATGTAGGAAGGGAGAGACATCAATGGAAAGGCTGAAGCAGGCGTAGATGGACTTTCAAATGCGTTTTTTTGTGAAACGGGAAGAAAAATCCTCGTTGCCAGTTGCCTGGTAAAAATGGGATTTGCTTACTCCAGCTGAATTCTCGGAGCATTTCATAGAGTTGCTACAGTGAAGGACTTCTCATATTTTTTGCGTCAGAGGAGCTACATTGATGTTGACCATTTTTTTGTAAAATGGAGAACGAAATATTCACACCCCTTTTGGAGCAGTTCATGTCTAGCCCTCTTGTCACCTGGGTAAGCATTCATTTTTCCTCACACGTAATTCATTTATTTGCTCATTGTTTGAAGATAGATGCCTAGCGGTAGAGAAAAAGGTGGAGTTAGTGTCACAGTGGTGATCATTATGTTTTAGGTTAAGACATTTGGACCGTTAGCTGGAGGAAATGGGACCAACCTGGAAGAATATGTGGTGCTAGTGGATGGCGTGTTTCTGAATGAAGTCATGCTGCAAATGTAAGTGTGTGCGAATTGTGCCTTGGGCTTATTTTTAGCTGTTGTTTCTCCTGTGTGTTTTGTTTTGTTTGTTTTTTTTACAAAAACACTTTTCCATGACCAATATCGACCTTGATAAATCTTTATTTTTTATATACTTCAAGCAGTCATGCACTCAGTTAAGAGGAGACTTTGGAGCGTAGCAGATACTCTATAGTTTAATGTCCAAGTGATGTATTGGCAGGATGTATAGTGTAATACAGGCAGAATCACGGTATGTAGAACTTACTGGAAAATTAGATGACTCTAAATAGTTTCCCAGATTTCCAGTGAGAATCATAAAGGTTCATTCTACTGTAAGTTATGCTCATAAACAAAATTTTGAATAAATTTGCTTGGCTAATAAGAGTCTAGTGCATATCTTAGCTCACATAAATAAAACTTAAGGATTGTATGCAAGTCACATAATGTTGTTTACTGAGCAAATGAACTGTCCTTTAGCTCCTTCTGCTTTATTTTTAACAGTTCTGAATTAGATAGTTGTGCAGTAAAGCTGATATTTTATTTGAGAGTATAGAATGTTTTCTGGCTCTACACCACAGAAGAGACATTTTTGCATGGTTTTATAAACTGTTTATTGAAAACTCTGATTGCCAGAAAGATTTCTTTATAGTGACATTCTGGTAATCATAGTTTTGACTGGAATGTTGCCCACTACTGTAACGCTGGGGAGTAACACTTTTGTCAAGTGTCTAGTGATATGATCATAAAAATGTTAGTAGTGGAAAAAATTTCTCCATACTTTTTTTTTTTTTTTATTTTAAATCTTTACAGAGAAACACATTTTTGTTTGTGTGAGTATGAAAAAATGTAGGCTTTTGGCTGGATAGGTACATCAGTGCAGGAGCAGCTTTTGTTGACAGCTGTTCCTCAGGAACACTGCTCCATGACTGTTTATAGTTTTTATTCATATTTACTATTTTAAAAGTTTTTGCTGTTGCTATTCAGCTTGTATAACTAATCTATGTAAAAAGATCTACACAATGCAACATTTAAGTTGAATTCACATTCTTTTGAAACCAATGTTCTCATGGTCACCTGCAACTAAAATTCCAAGTATTTACTTCTGTAGTATTGAGGAACATGAAAAGCTTGATGGAATCGAACTTTTTGTAGGAAATCTTGAATTTGTTTCTGGCATACTTTAATAAAAATTTAAAGTGATGCATTCACTGAAGCATATTATTTTTATTTTACAATTTATTTATATATTTTTCTTGGACTACACAAAAAGTTAAGTAGCTTGTCAGTTGGGACTATGCGTTTAACATGTAGAGCATTTATTTGATAAAAATGTTTGACAACTGAAAGGCAAATATAGCATTGGAACAAGGTGATTTTTGAAGAATATGGTCTTGAAATTAAACTTTATCAGTAGTTGTTTTTAAATACTAAGAGTATTGATATCGGATACATATGTGGGATACATATATGTAAAATGGAAAGCTGCCAAGAGGGAACATACCTATGATTCAGGCACAGTGCGTTGAATTTGGCTTTGACTTTATGCATACTTGACTCTGATTGCTGTTGTTTACTTAGGAGTTGTGTTACATTATTAAAAAAAAACCCCAAAAACACATGGTAGATGTAAATTTAAAACAGTTTGGTATTCAGAACAATTAAAAACTACCTCAAACTAAAAGTGCATGTAAAAGGACTGTTCTACAAATGAATTTCATTTTACAAATATATGACTGTGCTGGAAGGTGTATTTTAAATAAATTTTTTGGGGACTGAAATGTATTACAATTGATTACTGTCTAGAATTGAAGCTGCCAGAACTGTATTATTCTTATGGTGTGTGTATGTGGGAGGGTTAGTTTGTTTAGGGATTTTTTCCAGGGTTGAAAGAAGGGGAAAAAGTGTTTCATATTTTGCAGACAGATTCAGTCTCTGGTGAAATCACTGTGGAAACCTATGTTAACTTTAGTCCTATTCACTTTGAATGTCCACCTGTTAAACGTTTGTCTTCATTTGCAAAAACATTTCAAAGGTACAGCTCTAACCAATCATCAGTGCAATGTATTTTCAGCATTTTCCATTCTTTTTTTTTCTTTCAGTCTTAACTATTATATGTTGAGGAAATGTGGCGGAAAAATGTGTATCATGTGACCTCAAAATCAAAATATTTTCCTCCACAATTTTTGTTTCTTTGATCTGTTTTAAAACTCTCAAAGACTTGCTTCGCAGGAGAACTACATATCCATGGTTAGGTGGTATGGCACTCTTAGAAACTATAGAGGAACGTTCTTGTGAAAATCACCAGGAGTGCCATTCGTAGAAATATGTGGAAAGCGCTGCTAGAAGTTGTTTGTTTTTTTATGTGAGTGTGTTATATGGTGCTTGCTATTTATACTACTCTGAGTTATTTGAGGCTGTTAATGTTCTGGTGGGAGAATACAGGTAGTGCGTGTCAGCTAAGGACTTTGTGATGTGGTGGTGGTGCAGGTTTGTTCCTGTGGCTGGAAAGCCATTGCAGCGTTTGATGCCTTAAAGGGCGTTAACAGCCTCCACTCGTTCTTGCTTTTAGAGGTGCTGTGATCCTGCTTTATATGTAGTTTAATGCTTTCTTTATTTTTGCCAAATGTTGAAAAAAACCCAACACATTCTGTGACCGTAAAAGTGAGTGTTAATGCTGGATTAGTCATAGTTTGTAAACAGTTACACAATCAAAAAGTGGCTTTGTTACTTAGGGAAGGGGTTTTGTTTGTTTAAAAGAAGAGTTAATCGGGCTCTCTGTCAGCTACAAGCGAGAGTTTGTTAGTGTGGCGTTTGTTTCTCCTTGTGCTTGTCTAGATCAAATTTATTTTCAACAGTTTTAATGATTCAGACGGAAGAAATAGATATCAACATTGGAGCAGTTGCAGGATAGTGGTACTGAGATACTTATCAGCATCAAGTTTATTAGTACCTCAGAATAGTTCATTACATTCCTTGTATGTATTTGCTTTTGACTTTTTTGATGTTTTAGTACATGTGAAAATGACAGAAATTCCACTCAGTGTCCAATTATGTCTGAAGAGCTCTTCCTTTGCTGGAGATGCTACAGGGCAATTTTATTATTATTGTTTTAATTTTAGTTTAGTTTTAATTAAAGGGGGTCCAGTGTTACAATATTAGTTCCTAACTTGAGAGAATGTCTCTCGTTTCCTGTTTAAATTTAGGTCCAGTTCTTCAAAAGTATTCAGTTACGTACCTTCTGCTGGGATCAGTCAGTATCTGATACCTCTGGATAGAAACCCATCTGTTTTTCTAAATCTGAGCCTTTATCTTTGTGTTCTTTGATACAAAAAGGGGTCATGCTTCTTGGACATAAATCAGAATGCAAGAGATCACTGCAATGGTGTTCTGCCATGACAGGAAGGTGGAGAAACGTACCACAAATACTTTGTACCTTTACTATGCCTCTATATCGTAATACTTCTGACATTATAAAGTGCTCATATACTTGTGCAAAATATGTTGTGTATACTACTAAAATAAATGAAATGGTAAAATTGAACGGATTAATCACTTGTTGCACGTCTAGGTGCAGTTACAGTAAAACAATACTTAGCTGTCTGGAGATACTTTTCCAGAACCTAACAACACCTCATTTTTTTTTGTCTCAATATTCTACTGTTTATATGATCTTCTGATGCAAATAACTCAAGGTATTCTTACAGAAGTGCTCATTTTCTAAGTGTTTTTTATTTTCATTTCATTTAGGTCTTGTTCTCTGATATTTGTTAATTAAATTCCAGTAGGATTGTTTAAGAAGTGCTTAAAGTCTTGTATGAACGATGGTTTCCAAACTGACAGGTGCCTTACTAATTCCTTTGAATAAAAATAGACAACTGCAAGTAATTCTGAGGGACTTCCATTGTATTTAATACCACCATTAATACTTGGTCAAGTAACCAAGACTTGAAGCTGTATTTTAGTTTTAATGGTTTTATTTAACTATGCTTTGTATTTGTGGGAATAGATCTATTTTGAAGTAGCAGTTCGATAAATACTGTATGGGGAATCTGTAATGTATAGAACCAAACTCTGAAGCTGAATTAATTTAATCCACTATCTGGAAAGCCTGTCCTCTTCCATCATAGTGTTCCATTTGTAACTTTTTTCTTGATTGAATACATTAACTGATGCTCTCTGTATCAGTTGTTGCATCCAGACATACTGAAAAGTACTTCCAAAGATGAAGGTTTTTATTGTTCTTCTGTTTCTTTCCCTTTTGCTGTTCTCCCACTGTTTTTCACTGCCTGGATCCACATGCAGGCCAGCAAATTTTCCAGGTGGACAGGCTGACTGTTTCTTTCCAGCACTCTGGTGGTGTGTGCCTAGAATGTGTAGATGGCTTCATTGACTCCTTTTCTGAGCTCTTAGTCTTTAGTTGTATGCCTTTTTTTTTCCAAACAGTTGAGCTTGCCAGCCCATACTTCTGGCTTGCCTATATCTTTCCCTGAAAACTGGACTCCATCTCTAGTGCTTGAGCCAGCTGCCTGACTCTGTGAAAGAGTACAGGAACACATGCTCCAATCCAATTAACTCTTTCTTGTGAAGAAGACCAAATAACAAGAAGCAGCTTCAGGCAGATTGTGGCTGGGGGAGGAAATGGAAAAAAGTTTTGAGGAAAATGAAATTGGTGGGTTTGGCAGTAAAAATATGAGCAGATATTTTACCAAAAGGTTGATAATATAAGGCTGCATCTTTCTCCCTTTCTTGAAGTGAACAGATTTGATTCACGCTTTTCAGACGTGCTGTCAGATGCAAGGTAGATGCGACTCTAGTAGTTTATCAAAGTTGTTGCTCTTAAAACTGGTTCTGCAGCTGCAGGGCCTAGATTTTTCTGAAGGAAAGATAAATTTTTAACTTAGATTTTTTGTAAAGAAGCAAATTCTTCAATAAATGGTCCAGCAGAACATGCACCACAGTCAAGATTCTCGAAATTAAAACTTTTTGACTGCAAAAAA